CTCAACGTTAAGTTCTGCCCTGATCAACTTTATGTTCTGATTCAATATACACGATGATTTGAGTGACAGTTTAAAAAATATTTCAACCGTCAACTCATTAGAACTGGCTAATCAAAACATACGCATTTTATTGTTGGCTAATTTTATTCAGTATTCAGTATTGGTTGGTGTGATACCCGGATATGGACTTTACCGACCTAACGTTTGTAGATGTAGATGTAGATGTAAACACTCTACTGGCGAAAGTGTGCAGTGAATCTTATATAAATGTAGGAATATACAGCATCTTACGTTGATAATCACTCGTGAATCGTTGCGTTGACAATAGCCCCAACGTAACGTTGAGTTTGGGTGAACGTAACGTTTAGTAGAGGTTAAAGTAACGTTGACTGCTAATAAACAACGGTAAAAATTCGGCTCGCGGCGCGTTTGATTTCAAATAGCAGTAAGCTCAAACACAAAGTCTTCTTTGCTCCGTCCTTGAACTAGGTATTTGTCCTTCGCTCTCCCGATAATCTCTTTACAAAGGATACACTCGTGAGTACTCGACATTGGCATTTGCATTGCAAATTGTTAATGAAGATCAAAAAGACGATAAGGTTTTTGTTGCAGACTCAAAGGAAGATCGACGGACATGTGAATTGTGAAATTTGATCATAAATGTTTCGTGCATAAAATGCGAAAATTAATTACTAATTTCAATTTACGTCACATTTTGCATAAATTACAGTACACGAAATTTGGCTCTGATACGCAGACCCTCTTTTTCCCCGCCTTTCTATTTCGGGCATGGGTCTGCGGCGCAGGCTATGGTGTGGGGGATGGAACATTTTGAACCATACCTGTGGGGACAGCACTTCACTGTCCGTACTGACCACAGTGCGTTGAAATGGCTACGAAGTTTCAAAAACCCCAAGGGCCAGATGGCTCGGTGGTTGGAGAGGCTAGCTGAATTCGAGTTTACCGTGGTACACCGATCGGGAGTCATGCATGGAAACGCTGACGGCATGTCGCGAATACCCTGTAACAGGAAGGAGAGTGCGCCGGAAGAGAACGGGAGACGTGTGTCAGCTGTTTCACCTCTAGCTGTGGTCACGAGTGGTCGGGAGATGGCACGGTACCAGGACGAGGACCCTTACATCAGCCAAGCGATCTTGTGGGTTAAAGAAGGCAAACGTCCGCCGCGAAGCGAGATTGCGGGGCTGGGCCCCTTGGTATCATCGCTGTGGAGTCAGTTTGGTAGACTCAAGATGCGGGATGACGGTGTCCTTTGTCGCGAGTACGAATCCGAGGATGGAAAGTCCATCTTCCTGCAGATATGCCTCCCGAGAAAACTAATCCCAGTTGTACTCAGCACATTACATGACATTCCAACCTCTGGTCATCTAAGAATTAACAAGATGACTCAGAAAGTGAAAGCGCGCTACTATTGGAAAGGCTGGGAAACGGATGTAGAGGAACATTGTCGCAACTGTGAGAAATGCGAGAAACACAACCCACCACAAAAGAAAGGAAGAGCACCGCTGGTAACCAGTTCGACCGGATACCCCATGGAACGAGTTGCCCTTGACATTGTCGGTCCGTTACCCACAACAGCTAGAGGAAACCGATTTATACTGGTCATCTCAGATTACTTCACCAGGTGGGCAGAGGCTTACCCGATCTCTAATCACAAGGCACCGACTGTGGCAAGAAAACTGGTGGACGAGTGGATAACGCGGTACGGGGTAATGCAAACGCTACACTCCGACCAGGGTCGGGACTTCGAAAGCAACGTCTTCCAAGAGGTGGTCAAAATGCTGGGCATCCACAAAACTCGAACCACTCCATATCACCCAGAAAGCGACGGGTTGGTGGAGCGATTTAACCGCACATTGAAGAATATGCTATCTAAGTGTGTGGATGACAACCAACAAGACTGGGACATTTGGATTCCACAAGTGCTTATGGCATACCGAACAAGTGTACAATCATCAACTGGCGTCACACCATTTCGCATGATGTTCGGCAGAGAAGCTCGCTTGCCTGTAGATATCCTAGTACCTGGAGATATTCCAACCCAACCAGCACAGAGTGCTTCCGAGTATGTTAAAGAATTGAAAGGTCGATTCCAAGCAGCACACGAGTTGGCACGTGAGAAGACAAAGAGAGCTACTCGAAGGTATAAGGACTACTATGATGCAAGAGTACAAGGAACACCCTACAAATTTGGCGATCGAGTTTGGCGAATGGTGCACTTTGTCAAAAAAGGACAATCGAAGAAACTGTCAGCATCATGGGAGGGTCCATATATGATCGTAAAGAAAATAACTGATGTGGTGTACCGCTTAAAGAAGTTAGGTAGCCGCAAACGGGTGGTTGTGCATTTCAACAACATAAAGAGATGTAGACATTCGCAGAATCCCGAGCGCTCGGAGAAAACGTTGGACCAACCGGTCAGTCAGAGGGGCGAGCAATCCAGCACAGCGAACAAAAAGACTGTAAAGACGTTCCAGCAGCATGCCACTTATGACGAGGACGATGATGATTGGTTGTGGGAATCAAGCAATCAACCATTCCTCTCCACTCAATCCGGAACAGAGACACTGAGAAGCAGTAGCCAGGCAGCCGGAGGAACCCCCAGTAACGTTGATCCAGTTACAACTCAACCGCTAATGACAAACAGACCGAGGCGTAATCGACAACAGCCAACATGGATGCGTGACTATGTTCTCGGGGATTGATTTTTCGACACTTATTGACATTTCTATTATTTATATGATAACTAATAAAGCCTCCGCCTTTTCTGTAGAGGGGGATGATGTAGTATGACTGTTAGACTAATATTTAAATGTGGTATCACGTTTGCTTGTTACGGTTACTCGCTTGATGTTGACGTGAGCTTGTTGTCTGAGTTGTTGGTCTTTTGGTTTTGACGATACCTTGTTGTAAAGCATTTATTCAAATAAATCCTATTCTACATTGGTGGCAGCGATACTAAGACCCTTAAACCCCTATGTTTAAAATATCTGGTTAATAAATTCAATATTAAACTAGATAAAATAATAAACTAGTACAAAAAACTAATAAACTAGTACAAAAACTAGTACAGTTACTAGTACAGTAAACTAGTACAGTTATTTTGTACTAATAAACTAGTACAAAAATTAAAAATAAAATATTTCAGATGATGGAAACGGAAAAATGATTTGTGTTTCCGAGATTTGTAAAGTAATCTAAGTAATCGTTTAATAACGAAATATTACCAAAATGGCACATATTGCATGTCAGTCTAACTTTGTATCTAGGCAAGAAGACGGAAATAAATCACGACAGCTAGTAAATTCATACTAGAATTAGTAAAATGGCAAAATTTAGTTTTGAAAATGTTTTGCACAAAATACGGCCGTGCCAATTATATTGTATACTTTGGACGGTTTTTACGCTACTAAAGCCTGAGAACTAGTTTCGTTTACTATTCGGGGCAATTCTACTTCCGGCGGGATTACTTCATCGACAGAACATACAGCATACAACCATATTAACTATGATACAAGTTCATACAACAAAGTGATTGGATGGCTTTAACTATTATTATTGGATAACTAATAATATTATTGACGACATTTGATTTCGTGATCGAAGATTAGTTTGGAAAGAAGACTACAAACATTTTTTATCCAAATTATATTTGCTTTATTTTGGATGCCGTGTCGTCATCGTTGGATATCAACCATTTAAGGTAGAAAGTTAATGAATAACCCTGCTTAGTCAGTAATATGTTCAATACCACAGAACTGAGACGCAACTAATAATCACGGGATTATCGAGTATCATATTTGTACGAGGCATATTGTGTGTAGCAGTGTTAATTAACCGTAGAGACCCAAACTATACCTAGAATAGCCCTAGAATAGTCTATAACAAGATGGCAAAATCGAGGGTGCGTATTCATACATTGTATCCCCGACTGATTCCCTTTTAAAGACGATTGTTTTAGTTACGGTTTATGAACATTAATATACATGTATAAAGAATATACACTCTGATCGGTACAGTTGACACTTTCTGTGGTGACTGGTCTAAACCCCATAGCTGTTGTGTTGCTTAGATTTTTGTAAAGTCTGTTTTAGACATATTTTAGTTTCATAAAAAACTTGCCAATATTTCAGAGCTCGCGTCATGTCAGTTGGATACTAAAAGAAGCTTTGTCTTATTTGAATTCATTTTAATTAATTTTCCGTTGAGGACAACTTTTGAAATGTTGCTTAATTTGTTTTGAACAGAAAATATTCGTAGAACAGACTTCACATCATCATTGATAATTAGGGACTCAGGGTAGCAAGTTAGCAAACAGCATTGTGAATTAAGAAGCTCATTATACTAGAAAGATCGAGTGATCATATGAAGGTCGAGCAATATCGGCGAGTATTGGCTATTCTTATGGCTGCATGGAGGGTCTATTGCATGTAAAGCATTTTTCGTTCGTTTGTTTGTCGATCGTCGATACGCGATATACAACCGAAACATAAAGTTACATACATACATACATACATACATACATACATACATACATACATACATACATACATACATACATACACTTTATTTAAACACTAAATCTATTTACTGATCTGTTTTGCCAGTGCATTAGATAAAGCCGTGCACTTTACTTAAACAGTTAAACTGGAACGACTCCACGGCTGTTATCTCGTCTGCTTTTGTGGCTTCACCGTAGACAATCGCGCCGACGTAAACAAAGAAACGTGACTGGCGATGGTCTAAATTCGGCTAAAAATTGGCTCCAAAGATAGCTGTTATCCTTCTAGGGCCGATTTGACGAAAATTAGATAGTGCTTCCCCCGGATAGTGATTTTTCCACAGTTTTAAACATTTGGAGCTAACAGTAATTAATAACTTGGTTTTCAGGTTCCCAGCGCGCTATTTCGAAGATGACGGTCAGGCAAGATGATATGACTTTGTTATAAGCACCAAAGAAGATTGTAAAAAATAATATAAGAATGACTGAACTCAAGGAAGATGATAATGTTATGATGTCCCAGGCTGAGGACAGCGACGTAACTTCAAGCTTTATGGAAAACAATAATATCGCTTCGTCCGAAAATAAACAAGCCCAGTCTGTTAATAAACAGAAAGAAGTTGAAGATGAACTCCAAGAAAAAGGTATTCAAAACAAAGAATGTGATGGTATTAAGAATTTAAAGTGTCCTATGATAGAGGAAAAATCCTATCCTCTACTATAACTCGGACATTTTGATCAGGGCTGTAGCTAGACCGTGTAATTGGGGGGGGGAGGGGTGTTGCATATTCATATATTCACGTTTATACCGTAGGAACAATAGCGTAGCAAAGAAATCAGACGGGTGGTATAAAGGCGGCTTTCGAACCATTCAGTGCAAAATGTCGCGCAACCGATTTTTTTGCCAACGCTTTCTTTGAAATGTGTTAACTCAAGCTCATCTAATGCATGGGCTTAGTTCCGCTTTATTGTTTGTATTTCATAAAAAAGTGATCGCAAAAAGTCGATCTCGCAACATTTCCATCCAGCAAATCCGCCTTAAGATTAATATATGATAATAAACCCCCCATAATTAAGCTTCTGGTTTGACGGCCCTAACCATCAAGGTCCCACAATAATTGGCCTAGGCAATTGCGTTCGCTATCACCAAAGGCGATACTAAATATAAATGGGTAAAATAATAAATATCCCGTGGGAACCATTCAGCCTATTCAATAATTTAAATTTCTACCCTATAACCCGTTGACACATTTTTAACTTTCTTATCACCTGATACAATGCGGGAGTCTCACCCGCAATTAAATTTCTTTGGGCACGGCCCGGTTATTTATTTTTAATCTTTCTTTTTCATGTAAATTGCATCTTAATGTTGCATATTTATAGGTATTAAGAAAAAGAAAGAGGCAAGTGGAAGCATAAATTTCTGTGAAGAAGGGAAACAGAAATTTTGGGACGAAATAAGAAAGCAAGTTGAATGTGGTGAAAACAAAGAAGATCGTTGGAAGAAAACAATTCTTTGGCGTGCTTTTCAGTTTAGTCCAGTAGATCAAAAATTAGTTAAATATTTAGTTGACCATGGAGCAAGCATTTATTCCCAGAACGAAGATGGTGAAACAGTTTTGTCGATAGCGACAAGAAATGGTTTATTTGATCTTGTTAAGTATTTTGTTCAATATGGCCCGGAACATAATTTTCAAGACGATTTTAAAGTTCTTCAGAGTGCAATACAGTCTCGGTCATTAGAAATTGTGAAATATTTCGTTGAAGATTGTGGGGCTGATATACATGGTAAAGATGATTCGGGAAATAGTGCCTTACATCATGCTGTTTATTTTGGTGGAACAGAAATTGTCAAGTACTTAGTTAAACAATGTGGTGCAGACATGAATGCTAGGACTCCAGACGGGGGGACAATGCTACAACTTGCTGTTACAGAAGGTACGCTAGAATTGGTGAAATATCTTGTTGAACAGGGCGCTGATGTAAATGGCCAGGGTACTGACGGGTGGACAGTGCTGCACGCTGCTATTACAAAATCTACTCCAGAAGTTGTAAAATATCTTGTTGAAAATGGCGCTGTAGTAAACGGCAAGGATACTACAGACGGCTGGACAGTACTGCACTATGCTGTGTCCTACAGTTCATTAGATATGGTTAAATATCTTGTTGAACTGGGGGCAGATGTAAATGGCAAAAAGACCGATGGGTGGACAGTGCTGCATGATGCTGTTACAAACGGTACGCTAGAAAAGGTAAAATATCTGGTTCAAATGGGCGCTAATGTAAATGGTAAGAGGAATGGCGGGTGGACGGTGCTTTACGATGCTATTTCTAAAGGTACGCTAGAAGTTGTAAAATATCTAGTAGAAATGGGCGCTGATGTGAATGCCAAGGATGCCACTTACGATTGGACAATGCTTCACTCTGCTGTTACTGAGGGTACGCCAGCAATGGTAAAATATCTTCTTGAAATGGGAGCTAATGTAAATAGCGAGGATAGTAAGGGATGGACGGTGCTGCGCAATGCGATTTTCAAAGGCACACTAGAAATAATAGAATATCTTGTTGAACATGGTGCTGATGCTAATGAAAAAACTGAAATGAAATCAGTTCTGCACTGTGCACTGTGTGTTACTCAAGATACTTTAGAAATAGTAAACTGCCCTGTTGAGACGGGCGCTGACGTCACTTGTAAGAAGACTAACGGGGAAACAATGTTACACACTGCTTTTTCTAAAGGCAGGACAGATATAGTAAAAAATCTTGTTAAGAAAGGCGCTAAGGTAAATGACAAGAATACTTACGGGAAGACAGTGCTGCATTCTGCTGTTACTGAAAGCAACTTAGAAATGGTGAAATATCTTGTGGGAAATGGCGCTGATGTAAATGTCAAGAATACTCACGGAAGGACAGTGTTGCACAGTGTTGTTGTAAAAGGTTTGTTAGAAATGGTAGAATATCTTGTCGAGAATGGCGCTGATGTAAATCCCGAGAATATTCACGGGGAGACAGTCCTGCAGTCTGCGGTTTCTAGAGGTACTATAGAAATGGTGAAATATCTTGCGGGAAATGGAGCTGATGTTAATGCAAAAAAGGATAACGTAACGATAGTCCTACACAGTGCTGTGGGAAAAGGTTCGCTAGAAATAGTAAAATATCTTGTTCAGAAGGGTGCTGATGTAAATGCCAAGAATACTCGCGGGGAGACAGCGCTGCACTCTGCTGTTTCTGAAGGTACGCTGGAAATGGTAAAATATCTTGTGGGAAATGGCGCTGATGTAAATGGAAAAAAGAATAGCGGATGGACAGTGTTGCACAGTGCTGTTGTAAAAGGTTCGCTAGAAATGGTAGAATATCTTGTCGAGAAGGGCGCTGATGTAAATGCCAAGAATACTCACCGGGAAACAGTGCTGCACTCTGCTGTTTCTGAGGGTACGCTAGAAATGGTGAAATATCTTGTGGGAAAAGGCGCTGATGTAAATGGAAAAAATAATAAGAAATGGACAGTATTGGAGAGTGCTGTTAATAAGGAGTGGCTAGAAATGGTAAAATGCCTGGTTGAAAAAGGCATATTTTCAACGCTATCCACCATAGCGTTGGAGTCGAGGGCCATGAGGCCACATGTATGACCCTGGCCTTCCGCGAACTGTTGTTGAATTGTTGCCCAAATGGCAGGCGTCAAAGTATGGTCATATTCTGATGATCGTCTGGAAAGAGCGTCGGCGGAGTTCGCTTGAGTCCGGACATACGTGAGGTTTAATATGGTTAAAAAAGATTAAAAAAAATTAACTCTTTCATCGCTCGGTTAAGACGGGGGCTTTTTCCACCTTGATTGTCCCAAGCGTTTATGACGGCTTGATTACCTCCTTGATGATTGATCTCCTCCTGCTAAGGAAGCGGGCTATCCCAATCTCCAAGAAAATGAGAAATTTCCTGATGTAGCGCACCCGTTAATAGCTGGGGTTTTAAGGTGCGGAGGCCGCGGGAGATGGCTGCGTTCATCTCTCGAAGAAACGTGCTGCTAGCATAGCGAGGGAAAACGAAGTGCATTTACCGACGAGACGTTGGAGAGTTTTGACTGAAACGTACTTTGAGTGAAGTAATTTTTCTAGTAATCTCACACAAGCATACACACATGCACGACAGCGAAGCCTCGCCCACAAAGAAACGAGAAATTTTAATCCAAGTGTATCCAACAGTGAAATATACGGCGAAATCCCGCCCAAATATATAAGATTGTTTAAGCTCACGTCTACGCATATCAAACGCTAAAATCTGAGTTAAGAGGGTATAGCGCGAAAAACACTAACACGAAAAATGGACATGAAGAACGTGCATAAACCTCTAACTCGTCTTGTGGCTGCTCCTGTTGTTGATTTACTGGCATAGATGGAACGTCCTCATTCTGCCGATCTTGTTGTTTCGGTTGAAGTGGTGCTGCTTGTATAGCAGGTGGCTTGCAGTAGTGGGGCTTTATTATTGGGAAGCACTGCGTATTGTATAAAAACTTTGGGATTTTCTGCCATTCGATGTGGGTCGTACAAAGGCTCGCGGTAACTTGATGAATCGCTCGAATTTAATTTTATATTCAGTTTGCTAGTTTGCAACGATATCGTTGATTTATATGGCTTCAAAATATGGGCACATCAGCCCTTAAATTTTGGATTGAATTCAATATTCTCTTATTAACCTTTCAAGTAATCCATGGACTAGTTCCTGAGTATTTGCGTGATCTAATTCGAATCACAGACGCCAAATTTTTACCTGCGAATAAATAATGAAGTACTCCTGGATGTACCGCCTCAGAAATCATTTAACTCAATTTGAGATATAGAGCCTTTAAATTTGCAGCACCAAAGTTATGGAATCGTCTTCCAAAATAGCACAGAAATTTAGATACAATTTGTAATTTTAGAAAAAAATTAAAAACTCATTTATTTTGCATAGCTTATGACATTACCTGACGTTTCTTATTGTTTCATTCTTATCTACTCTTAGAACTAATATTGTAATTATCATACCCATAAGAGATGCAGTAATTACTTCAATTTTAACCCTGTAATTTATATATCAGTCTTATTATTATGTAAATCAGATTTTACAGCGTATCTAAACATTCTCATGCTAATTTGCGCTCAAGAAATTCACATTAATTCATTAATTCATAGATTTAATTTTTTTGTGTATATTTTTCTATTTAAGTACGAGTATTTTCATGTATAAGACTGTAAGTTTGTGAACACAGTTCGTAAATTGAAACATTTTAGCGAGTGTTGCCAACCTTATGAAACTATATACATGTGATGTAATAAATACTTCAGCGTGCTCCGTGCGCGCCTGTTAGCGGGCTACTGTGGTTCCCGTGGTTTAGGTTGAGCCAAAACGCAGAATATTATTAAACATTTGCGTCGAAAAATCAAAAAATCTCATTTTCGATGTTCTATTGATCGTCGCTCTTTACGATGTTTGGGATATAATCCTCGGAAGGTAGGAAATTGATAAATAGCCTTGTGTAATATCACAGCAATTTGCAACAACGCGGCAGCCGATCGAGACTGGTAATCATAAATCATGTGATGACCGAGTGTGTTGTGTACTAATTTGTATATTTTCGACACTTTTTCCCGGCTTTTTATCTTGTAGGGTATACATAGGGTTTAGGGGAGAGAATTAGTATTTAAAGTGGTGTAGACCGTGTAGTTGCAGTAACGACAGAATTTAGAAGCGACCATAGGCATGGAAACCATGCGTTGAGCAATATTTGTGCGAGTATTATTTATAGTTCCGCCACTCCGATGCTCTTGTTTTATTTCCTGAGAGCAACTTCAGAAACGTTCGTTCACAAAGCATTATAGAATTATGTTCTGGCGGTTGCTCGTTCGCCTTTGTTCACCCGTCGTCATACTATGATCCACACCCGTAAACATTCTACACTCTACACTCGCGTCTCGCAACGTCATTAAAGCCAGCTGTAGAATGTTTATCCCAGTGTTTGTTGAATATATTTATCCCGTGATTTATCAAATCCGTTCTGTTAATCGGTTCTGCTCATAACAAGGGAGAGCCCTTTCTTGTGAAAAGTCCCCAAACTTCGCGTGTTCGCCAGTTTACTCAACATGGACAAATTACGTCCTTTAAACATAAACAATTACGTATCTGCTAGAAGTTCATTTAAGGAATTCCAGGAATTTTACTATCTTGCATAAACTCAACTTCAGAAATGTGTTGTTAAACCTTGAATCAAATAGTTTAGTTGTTTGTGAAAGTATAGCTGAAAAGAGCTGAATATTCATCAAAATATTCAAGGAAATTTTTTTTTCATAGAGCTAAGAGGAAATAGGGCTATTTTGCAACAGAAGTTTAAAAACATATTGGTCAAAGGAGCCTATGTTAAAAAAGTACCACAGGCCTCGCAATAGGGCTTTAAAGGTATAATAGTATATTTTGAAATAAGATGGAGTTAATTGGTCTTAATATTTATATATATACTTGTGTGATATGGTAGATATCAATTTTAATTTAAAATAAATTTCAATTATATAAAAATGGTAACAAAATATTGTGTCCCAAACGAAAGCATTCCTTAAAAGCACAATGAAGGAACTTGGTCTTAGATAAGACCTGACAGGCTTGATAAGAGCAAAGACTTTTTCAGGCAGTGGGCTGAATATTCTTTTAAACTAATTAGCAAAATCTTTATTTTAATATAGAAGATAATGTCAAGTCAATGTGGTACTCTGCCTGGCCAAATCCTAAAAACAAAAGTCCATCTATTTATAAATGAGCTATAGGAGCACATGTACAACCCTCACTTTTGCTTTTAAAAATTCAAAAAAATGAAAACATCATTGGGTAATAAAAATTTTTTCACAATCAATTACAGATACATGCAGCAATTTGTATTGTTCCAAAAGTTAAATTATCAAAAATTCATTGCTTGTACTGGTGGATTGGATCTTAAAACCAAAGCAGTACAGTCATGTAACTTACAGCAAATTTACATGAGTAGGAGAACTAAATGTGGTAATTTAGACAGGATGTACGCTACAAATGTGATCAAATTCACTTGGTTGTGCAAACTTGATATCAAATATTGCTAGCTGTTTTTGTGGCTGTTATTATTTAATGCATTGACAAGAAAAATAAAATCTTTATTGTAATACCTCAACCTAGATGTGGTGACATCAGCCCTGCAATTTACCTTCTCATGCACATAATATTATTTTATAAATGATAGTCAACCACATTATACCATATAACACCATAACAAAGTTATATTTGCTATTAACATTAAAAAAACTGGCAGTTAACAAAGTAACAAACAAGTACAAATGGACTAAAAGATTAATGCAATTACTCCAATGAACACAATAACTGGTTTCGAAAGTAAAACAACAACAAAATATTGGCCCTATTATTAAATATTGGCTAGATTTCACAAAGTGAATGCCTATAACTAAAGGTCTAATATTCTTCTGTGGGCAAAAAGAGGGGTAAAATAGGTATGATATGACCCAAAATACTTTTATAGGATAAGCATATAAATTTGATCATTGCAATATCCTAAAATTGATAAACAGTGTAAACAAAGTAACAAACTGGAACTAATCTAAATTATATGTACAAATACCGTAGCGCCAAGAGGAGGTGGGTTGGTTATTACCCTGAAGACATACAGGTGCCAGGTTCTAAGTTCAGGATGCAAGTAAAAATAAGAGTGTTTCAACAATAGTTAGACTACTTGCTTGATTTTACTGCATTATTAGATCTAAAATTACTCAAATTTGGATTTGATCTAGTTTCCTATTTTTTCTAAACATAAACTCTAGCTCATATTCATTGTCACTGAGATGTGTTTAACCAAAATAGTGTGAAGTCTAACAGTACATGATATTGTTTACAATACGGACTGTACCCTACCTTTAGATTACGATGTAACGGGTTAGATAGATGAAAGAGGTGGATGTGTGATCTTAAAAACTTGTTTATGATGCTCCAGAGATTTCAAATTTAAAAATTTTTCTTGTTTGCGACAACCCACTGAACCCAGGTTTGACGCCAACTTCGTGAGTATGACTGCCCATTCAGATATATATAGCTCAGTTATTCACACGCGGGCCGCAGTGTTCCAGTAAAGGGGGCTTATTCACTCTCAATATGGGGGAATAGATAATGGGAAATAATGGGGGGATTTGTTATAGATTGAGACACAATGCTTAGTCAATGTTTGTATTCATTTATTTGAATAACTATTGAACCGTGAGAAAAAAATGTTTAAATCAAGTAAACATTGCATAATTGACAATCAATGAGCAGCTCATGTGTATGAAACATTACTTTTTGCTCTAATTCAATAGACCTTTCTTATAATGACGTCAAACTCAATCAATCAAATCAATCTTCGTGTAACATCAGACTTTCCGTGTTTGACGTCATTATGAAAAAGGTCTATTTAAGTCCGTTTTCCACTAGACGAATTCATTCCCGCGACGCGATAACTGAAATCTGGTGATGTGTTTGGTCTACACAGGAATTGCGCAGCTGTGTCAGTTGTTCACTTTATGTGTTAACATTGTATACAATCCATCGTATCATTTGCCGACCATTGCTCACCGAAACATTATCAAACATTTAGGGGTGATTCAACTCATCACTCAAGTGAAAAATTTTGTCCGCTTCTTGTCATAACAAAGTAAAGTGAAGTATAGTACGAGTAAGCTGGCTAATTAAGAATTACGATACATGGATATGTAATAGGACAATTAACGAGTACTTATACAGGGTGTATCAAAAAAAACGCAACCACTTAATATTCATGATATCCTCTTTGTTCTACAACACAAAAGACGTTTGGCCCCTGGAATGCGAGAAAGCTTATAATCATATTCTAGCGGCACAATCGTCGGTAAACAAAGTCGGGTGCGTAAACCAACGAGCTGAAATGAAAGTATTTAACGAGTAAAATTTTATTTACAATTTTTTTACAAGGTCGACAGTTAGCATTTAAGTTATCATGCACGACAATAAAAACTCGTTGTTCAGTTGTTAGCTGCACCATTATTAGTTTGGCTGATTTGACCATTAGCAGTTGAACTGTACGACTAGAAGCCATTTTAAAATCCCAGGGGCATAAAATCTATTGAGCTTATGAACAATATGAATTTTAGAATATTAAGTGGTTGCGTTTTTTTTTATACACCCTGTATATACTGCATGAGCATAACATGCACCAAGACTATATACATGGTGATCACCGCTATACTAAAAAGACACTGAGTTTGGCGTGCGGAATAATCAGCGAATTTAGCGTTTTGGAATAGCGATACTTAACTACAACATGCCGCATGCAAACTAACAAAATTAACAAACAAATACGCGCAAATTACTTGAAATAAACAAACAGAGCAAAATGTGAGCATAACGCATGAGAATCTTATTTTACTTATACTTTGGTTTGCGCACGCACGAAACTTTGCAACACAACTCTTGGGAGACAAAACTGTGACGTTGATAAAAACGGTCACATACACATTTCAAATACCAGTATATTTCGCGCTAAAACACCCTTGCGACGTCGAAAAATAAAACCAAACAAAAACAATAACAAAACAAAAATCAACTCCGTCGCTGACGCCGAAGTAATTATACTGCATGAGCATAACATGCACCAAGACTATACGGAAGACTATGTACATCAATACCATGCATAACTAAAAAGACACTGAGTTTGGCATGCGGAATAATCAGCGAATATAGCGCTCTGAAATAGCGATACTTAACTACATCATGCGACTATAGCAAAGAAACACGCGCAAATTACTTGTAATAAACAAACAGCGCAAAATGTGACCATATTAAACGCATGAGAATCTGTTTTTACTTATACTTTGGTTTGCGCATGCACCAAACTTTGATAGAAAAATAGCGTAAAATATGTAGATTTCTAGAGTTCTAACGTGAGTAGATATTGATACGCCAATTATTTTAATAAAGGCTCAAACGACAGTTGCTTACTCACGAGCAGGTCCACGTTAAACACTGACTTAAATTTGCTATATACTGGCAAGTTGGCTATATTTACACGGAGCGACACCGGAACGTGATATAGATTTAGAATTGATGTTTTACGCAACGGATATCGCAAGGTTAGGCTGGGAAAGCGCATTCAGTGGCATAGGAAGCAAGTTAAAGTTAGGGGGGGGGCATACTTTCAGGGGCACTTCTTCATAGAAAAAGCGCACCCTCAAGTTAATTCATTTTCGGTTGCTAAACAGCGCAATTCTTGTCTTGTCTTAAAAAAAGGGAATTTAGTTAGTTGTTGTATTTCATATTTGTAATGCAAGCTACATTAAAACAGCAAATTCGTAGTATTTTCAAAAAGTATTGTTACCTTTTAATATAATGATATTTTAAATATAAATGCCATATATTAATTGTTAGTATTATACCACTAAGTACCGCATGGTTCGCGGGACCATGTTGTATGCTGTCTTATCAAATAATAAGAGTTTAAAATTTTAACATAAATTTTTAACAAGAAAATTTTGCAACTTTGAATATGTTATAACTTTGACCATATAAAATCTGCATTCGGTAGATGTCAAATCGCAAAATTTGGGTTTGGTAACTTAGCAACAAGAAGACGTAATATTTCCGGCTTGGAAACTTTCGGTATTTGTGCTATTTTTATTAGAATAAACGTCGCAATTGGCAAGCCAGGGTTTTTCGAAAAAATATTTAAAAGCTAGCGAATGCTGGAATCCTAAAAAAAACTTACTACATTCATTAAGTCAGGCACAAACTCTCATAAGGGCATACTAATGTTAGGTACAAAAAAGGGCACTTTCCTTATAAAAAAGGGCATTGTTTCTTATATTTTTGAAAGTTGGGGGGCACATGCCCCTGAACGGGGGCACATGCCCATGCACTGAACGCATTACGCATTTCCTGACTAAACGTACGCATTTTTGTTCAGCGGTTGTGGCCGCGGAAAATAACAAAGTTGTTTTTGCCACTCAATAGCACGTGGCGTGCTCTTTTTATTGGTTGCTAGCTAAATACTTGTCTAGGACGGGCGCATTATTTAGAACTATTTATCTTTCATAATTGTTTGGTAAGTGAAAGCTTTTAATTAATGGCGCGAGCAAACAAATCACGACGAACGTGATATTTATGTGACGTTTAGATGTGTTCTCAAGTAATTGTACTGATTATGGCCCGGTTTAACAGACCGAAAGCTTTGCAGTATTAAATACTAACGTGGTGTACCTACAAGCTAATTTACTTAGTTTTAAACATGTTTGAAGAGCGATGTTATTTGGAGCTAACAGTAATTAATAATAGCTTGGTTTTTTCAGGTTCCCAGGCTATTTTGACCCGACGTCTGAATAGATTTTCTCGAAGATGGCGATCCGCCCAGATGATATGATATATAGTTATGAGCAATAAAGGGGCTTATAAATAAAAATTTAAGAATGACTGAATCCAAGGAAGATGACAATGTTATGATGTCCCAGATTGAGAACAGAGACGTAACTTCAAGCTTTGCACAGAAAATGGACAATATCGTTTCGTCTGAAAATAAACAATCCCAGTCTGCTGCTAATAAACAGAAAGAAGTTCAAGAGGAATTCCAAGAAAAAGGCGTCCAAAACGAAAAATATGATGATGGTAAGAATTACAACAAGCGTCCTATGATAGAAGTATGAAGCCTACCCACCATTAACTCGAGCATTTTGATCAAAGCCGTAGTTGGAAGGGGTGTGCATATTCATACATTTATGTTTATATATGTTTTTATTCATGTTTTAGCTATACATACCGTAGTAAGATCAGTCGGGCGTAAGACCAATATATGAATGGACACCCCGTGTTGAAAATCTCCAAACAATTTTCAGCTACGCTGTTCCAAAATCTGGGACTGTATATAATTTTACCATCATTCAGAAATCAACCCTTTACAAACATTAATTCACGCTCTAACACACAAATTATGCTTGCGTTATTACCTGAAATTGGTGACAAAATGGCTGTTGCTTGTGCGCTAATTTGCATTATTTTAATCCATCTATACATAATGGCCTTCGAGTTTTACTATAAAGTAGATTGAGTGAAAATGTAAAATGTCGTAACGTCAGAGCCACAGACTTGGATCACTGTTTGCCGACCTCTAGATGGATAGAGCAGCTGTTTAGAAACGTTTTGCTAACCGCATGTCTAACCTTGGTTATTTTTGCAATAATTTAGAGATATATTGCTCAAAATTTTGGCAGTGTTCTCTCAACGAACTTATAAAATCGCTCACATTCATACGAAAATTTCGAATCGGATTGTCGATGAATTGACGTGTATTAAATATATCACGAGATTTTGTAAGAGATATTGTCTTTCGTATTCCTGTTATAAATTTTCTCGTACGGTCCGGATTTTTTTTGCAGTCACTTTAGAAAATATTATCAGCCTCACAAGGCAGTTCAAACATATGAAGCGTATATACACATTTGAACACAGTCAGTTGGCGGAAAGTAGAAACACCCAAGGTAAGTAATTTGATCATCAAAGCGTTGCGAAACGGTCGTTCTATTGGCCCAGAGGTCGGCAAACAGTGGGCAAAATCCAGGGCAACGGCAATTTTAGGTTTTGTACTTTTGCTATAAGTACTAAGTCAATAAATTGTTGCATGGATCTCACCCGCAATTTCGTTCGGCACTGCCCAGTTGTTGTTTTTTTCGTTCCTCTTGTTCATGTAATTGTCAATCTTATGTAATATTGCACAAATATATATAGGTATTGAGAAGAAGAAAGAGACAAGTAGAAGCGTGAATGTCTGCAAAGAAGGAAAACAAAAATTTTGGGACGAAATAAAAAAGCAAGTTGAATGTGGTGAAAACAAAGAAGATCATTGGAAGAAGACAATTCTTTGGCGTGCTTTTCAGTTTAGTCCAGTAGATCCGAAAATTGTCAAGTATTTAGTTGACCATGGAGCAGACGTCTATTCTAACAACGAAGATGGTGAAACAGTTTTCTCGATAGCGACGAGAAATGGTTTATTTGATCTTGTTAAGTATTTTGTTCAATATGGCCCTGAACATAATTTTCAAAACGATTCCAAAGTTCTTCAGGGTGCAATACAGTCTCGATCATTAGAAATGGTGAAATATTTCGTTGAAGATTGTAGGGCTGATATACATTGTAAAAATGATTTCGGAAATACTGCCTTACATCATGCTGTTTATGTTGGTGGAACAGAAATTGTCAAATACTTAGTTAAACAATGTGGTGCAGACATGAATGCTAGGACTCCAGACGGGAGGACAATGCTACAACTTGCGGTCATAGAAGGTACGCTAGAATTGGTGAAATATCTTGTTGAACAGGGCGCTGATGTAAATGGCCAGGGTACTGACGGGTGGACAGTGCTGCACGCTGCTGTTACAAAATCCACTCCAGAAGTTGTAAAATATCTTGTTGAAAATGGCGCTGTTTTAAACGGGAAGGATACTACAGACGGCTGGACAGTACTGCACTATGCTGTTTCCTATAGTTCATTAGATATGATGAAGCATCTTGTTGAACAGGGGGCAGATGTAAATGGCGAAAAGACCGATGGGTGGACAGTGCTGCATGATGCTGTTACAAACGGTACGTTAGAAAAGGTAAAATATCTTGTTCAAATGGGCGCTAATGTAAATAGTAAGCGCAATGGCGGGTGGACGGTGCTTTACGATGCTATTTCTAAAGGTACGCTAGAAATTGTAAAATATCTAGTAGAAATGGGCGCTGATGTGAATGCCAAGGATGCCACTTACGATTTGACAATGCTTCACTCTGCTGTTACTAAAGGTAACTTAGAAATTGTGAAATATCTTGTGGAAAAAGGCGCAGATGTAAATGTAAAACAGAATAATGGATGGACAGTGTGTCACAGTGCTGTTGGAAAAGGTTCGCTAGAAATGGTAAAATATCTTGTTGAGAAGGGCGCTGATGTAAATGCCAAGAATACATACGGGAAGACAGTGCTGCACTCTGCTGTTACTGAAGGTAACTTAGAAATTGTGAAATATCTTGTGGAAAAAGGCGCAAATGTAAATGTAAAACAGAATAATGGATGGACAGTGTTGCACAGTGCTGTTGGAAAAGGTTCGCTAGAAATGGTAAAATATCTTGTTGAGAAGGGCGCTGATGTAAATGCCAAGAATACTTACGGGAAAACAGTGCTGCACTCTGCTGTTACTGAAGGTAACTTAGAAATTGTGAAATATCTTGTGGAAAAAGGCGCAAATGTAAATGTAAAACAGAATAATGGATGGACAGTGTTGCACAGTGCTGTTGGAAAAGGTTCGCTAGAAATGGTAAAATATCTTGTTGAGAAGGGCGCTGATGTAAATGCCAAGAATACTTACGGGAAGACAGTGCTGCACTCTGCTGTTACTGAAGGTAACTTAGAAATTGTGAAATATCTTGTGGAAAAAGGCGCAAATGTAAATGTAAAACAGAATAATGGATGGACAGTGTTGCACAGTGCTGTTGGAAAAGGTTCGCTAGAAATGGTAAAATATCTTGTTGAGGAGGGCGCTGATGTAAATGCCAAGAATACATACGGGAAGACAGTGCTGCACTCTGCTGTTACTGAAGGTAACTTAGAAAATGTGAAATATCTTGTGGAAAAAAACGCTGATGTAAATGTAAAACAGAATAATGGATGGACAGTGTTGCACAGTGCGGTTAGAAAAGGTTCGCTAGAAATGGTGAAATATCTTGTCGAGAAGAGCGCCGATGTAAATGCCGAGAGTATTTTCCGGAAGACAGTGTTGCACAGTGCTGTTAGAAAAGGTTCGCTAGAAATGGTGAAATATCTTGTGGGAAATGGCGCTGATGTAAATGTAATGGCGGAGGTGTACGGATCGACAGAGTTGCACAGTGCTGTTATAAGAGGTTCGCTAGAAATAGTAAACTGCCTTGTTGAGAAGGGCGCTGATGTAAATGCCAAGAATACTTACGGGGACACAGTGTTGCACTTAGCTGATACGCTAGAAATGGTGAAATATCTTGTTCAGAAGGGCGCTGATGTAAATGCCAAGAATAATTACGGGGACACAGTGCTGCACTTAGCTGATACGCTAGAAATGGTGAAATATCTTGTTGAGAAGGGCGCTGATGTAAATGCCAAGAATGTTCACGGGAAGACAGTGCTGCACTCTGCTATTTCTGAAGGTACACTAGAAATGGTGGAATATCTTGTCGAGAACAGTGCTGATGTAAATGCCAAGAATACTCACGGGGAGACAGTGCTGCACTCTGCTGTTTTTGAAGGTGCGCTAGAAATGGTGAAATACCTTGTGGGAAATGGCGCTGATGTAAATGGAAGAAAGAATGGCGAATGGACAGTGTTGCACAGTGCTGTTGTAAAAGGTTCGCTAGAAATGGTGGAATATATTGTTAAGAAGGGCGCTAATGTAAATGCCAAGAATACTCACGGGGAGACAGTGCTGCACTCTGCTGTTTTTGAAGGTAAGCTAGAAATGGTGAAATATCTTGTGGGAAATGGCGCTGATGTAAATGGAAAAAAGAATAGCGGATGGACAGTGTTGCACAATGCTGTTGGAAAAGGTTCGCTAGAAATGGTAGAATATCTTGTGGAGAACGGGGCTGATGTAAATGCCAATAATACTAACGGAGAGACAGTCTTGCAACATGCTGTTAGTGTTGGTGATTTAGTAACTATCAAGTACTTAGTTGAACAGGGTGCTGATATAACTGTTAGAAGTGAATGCTTCTTTTCTGTTGGCATTGTCATCCTCCAAATGGCTGTTAGAAACAACTTCGTCGCCTTAGTCAATCTTCTTTATGAGAAGGATATCGCGATGTGGAGGGAGCAAACGATTATTGTTAAAGGTCGGAGAATGAATTTTCTTGAATGGAGCATCCACCTTGGGCAATATAAAATTGCAACTATCTTTAAAAGGTCCGTAAAACATCGTGAGAAAATTCAGAAGTTGAAAACAAGAAACTGTAACCAGTTAGAAGAGGTAATATTTTAAACATATGTTAGATTGTATAATAAGTTTTTCAAAATATCCTATCTAAGGTTATGGGGAAGTTTACAAACAAACGACATCCCAGCTAGCTGACGCGCATTTGGTTTCGCGAATTTGGTTTCGCGCATTTAGTTTCGCGCACGGGTTCGGATACCAAAACTAAGATTAACCATTCAGATCCGCACCAAACCATGCATATATATATATATATATATATAATATATATATATATATATATATATATATATATATATATATATAATATATATATATATGTATAGGTTATCACATGAGGGGCGAGGTGATACCAGTTTATATATATATATATTATATAATATATATATATATATATATATATATATATAATATATATATATATATATTTATTCATTTACATAATTCTTAAAATATTGGCATCGCTACTCTGAGTTTCATGCCACAGAGGCAATCATCAGGCGACTAAATTTCAGTTCGTTACAAGTTTGATGTGGCATGAAACTCAGAGTAGCGATGCCAATATTTTAAGAATTATGTAAATGAATAAATATAAATATATATTTCTCTATTTGCTTGCAGTATTGAGCACTCTTTTATCTCATACGAAAAATTTTCTTAATAATTGTTTATATATATATATATATATATATTATATAATATATATATATATATATATATATATATATATATACACACCCATTTGCAAAAACGTTGGCCGCAGATAGATAGATACTCGAAGTCTAATTAGAATTGCATATGATTACATTTGCATGGAATTTCTATAATATTACACAACATATGCAATTCTAATTAGATTTCGAGTATCTATCTATATATCTATTTGCGGCCAACGTTTTTGCAAATGGGTGTATATATATATATATAATATATAATATATATATATATATATTATAATATATATACACCCATTTGCAAAAACGTTGGCCGCAGATAGATAGATAGATAGATACTCGAAGTCTAATTAGAATTGCATATGATTACATTTGCATGGGATTTCAATCATATAAAACAACATATGCAATTCTAATTAGATTTTGGGTATCTATCTATATATCTATCTGCGGCCAACGTTTTTGCAAACGGGTGTATATATATATATATAATATATATATATATATATATATAATATATATATATATATATATATATATATATATATATTGTCGGAGACTTGCAATTATTAGGATAGAACTACACTAGGAATATATAACCAAACGAATATATAGCATATATATAAAAATATATAACAGAAAATATTTTAGTATGATCATAGAGTTAGTTAAAACCACCGAATAAGTGCATGGTATAAACATAAACGCAGCGTAATTATCTAGAGCTTTCAAACCGCGGCGTAAGCATAAACTTGCGTCACTTAACAACCACAACATTAGGGCGCAGCGATAGCAGAACATGAATTTCATGATGAATTAACACAATTTGCGCGCGGATATTCGTCATGTAACCGCAATGACTTCTCACTAATTTACTATAAATATAGCCAGTGTATGTTAGAACACTGAACGGAACAGAACTGAGCTGCGAGAACCGTGAACCGAGAACCAAGAAGCTAATATCAACTTGAATTGTAGCACGATACGGAGCTATCTATCTAATGTCAACGTGACCTGTGAACCTTTTATTAAATCTTTTAAACTCAACGTGATTTGTGAGTTGTTGGGCGATACAAAGAGGGAGGCAATTCCCCAACAAAGTGGCACCTCCGACGGGATCTTAACAAGAACGTGATTGTGCGAATTCAACTGGAGATTAAACTGTGACAAATAGACCTTAATCAACTCGAGAAATGGATGCAAAGCTGAACGAGTTAACTGCGAAATTAAAAGCACTCAACCTGACGGTAACCAAGGTTGACGACGCCGTGACAAAGCGCGAAAAGGAATCCTTGAAACGGATCGAAGCATCACTAACGAAGAAAATTAACGGCATTTATGACCTAAAGGAGGAAATCGAAGAAATGAAATTTCTAAACCAGGAGAGCGACGATGATGTGGAAACTTGGGCTACCGAAACGGAGAATAAATTGAACGATGCTAAAGGGAAAATTGAACAGCTGAAGCAAGTGTTATCTGACATCGAGAACAACGAGACAATTATTGAACGAGAAAGGGACGAAGCGATAAGGCGCGAAGTCATCAGAGCGGAGACGGAAAAGCAAGTAGCGATCGAGAAAGCGAGAATCGAACTAGAACGTATACATAAGGAAGAAGAACGTAAACGAGATTTAGAACACCAGGACTTCATTTTGCAACAACAAATGAAATTCGGAAAGGCGCGGGAATCAGACGTGGTGAGCCCCAAGGAGCTTCAGATCAAAAACGTGAAACTACCCAAATTGTCGATCACTAAATTCAGTGGAAAATTATCGGAATGGTTATCATTCTGGAACACTTTCGAAGTAGAGATAGATTCAACCGAGCTGCCGACCGTGTCGAAGTTTGCCTATCTGAGAGAACTACTAGAACCTAACGTGAGATCGGAAGTCGAGGGTTTACCTTTCAGTTCCGAAGGATACGAAAGAGCGAAGAACATTCTCAAGAATGAATAGGGGAAGACAAGCGAGTTTGTCAACGCCTACATCCAAGAGATTATAAACTTACCGGTGATAAACGGGTCGAGTCCAGCAAAAGTTAATGACTTTTATAAGACCTTATCCCATAATGTACAGTCCTTGCAAACATTGGGAAAAATCGAGAAGGTGAACGGGAACACTCGTGTCGTATTAGAGAAACTGAAAGGCATTAAAGCGGATTTAGTTCGCGGAGAAGAAGGCTGGCAAGATTGGGACCTGCCACGCTTGGTCATAGCCTTGAAAAGGTGGAGAGATATCAACCCGGTCGTGAACACGAACAGTAATGACGACAAGTCCCCACCAAAACAAACTATGCGGCGATCAAACTTCTACCATGCTAAAGACGGTGAGCGAAAACGGCGTTCCTGCGTGTATTGTGGCGACAAAGCCCACTCGTCGAAAGACTGCACAAAGTTAGCCTCCGTGACCGAACGAAAAAAATTCCTGGCCGAACACAAACTTTGCTTTAACTGCACTGGTGCGAAACATCGTGCATCAGAATGTAGAAGTACCATGACCTGCCAAACTGTCAAGAAAAGCATCACACATCCATCTGTGGGAAAACCACCACCACCGAGGGAGAGAAATTAATGACCGCCGCGGAGAACCATGTCCCAATGGTGTATCCAGTGGTGGTTGTGAATGTTGGAGGAACGAAATGTCGTGCGCTGCTCGATACCGGGGCAGGAAGCTCTTACGCTTCTGCTACGCTGTTGAACCGGTTGAAAACCCGTAACCATCGACGAGAGACGCGTCGTATAGAAATGATGCTGGGAGTCGTGACCCGTGATATGGAGTTGTCCACCATCAACGTGGAATCGCTGGACAGTCAATTTGACATGGACGTGAGTGTAACCAAAGTAGATAAACCTGAACTGCTACATGTCGATAATCCCAACTACGATCAGCTGATTACCAACTACCCCCACCTTCATGGCGTCACCATGAACGATAACGATCAAAAGCCCAAACTACCAATCCACCTGATTATCGGAGCAAGCGACTATATCTCCATCAAAACTGACCAACCAGCCCGCGTAGGAAAGACGGGGGAGCCCATAGCAGAACTAACGAAACTCGGGTGGACAATAATCGCGAAGGGTAACGAGATTGACTATGCCGCCTTGCTGATCACACAAACAAACCAAAGTGACTATGAACAACTTTGCCGTTTGGATGTTCTCGGATTGGAAGATCGACCGGAACACGACCAAAGGAGCGTCTACGCAGAATTCCGTGAACAACTCGTGCGCAGTGAAGAAGGCTGGTATGAGACTGGACTACCATGGAAAGCCAACTACCCTACCCTTCCAAACAACAAAACTGGGAGTTTGCGACGCCTTTCCAACCTGACACAAAAACTAAATCGAACTGAACTCCTTGAAGCTTATGATGCGATAATCAGTGACCAAAAGACAGAAGGAATTGTCGAGAACGCATGTGAACCTGCTATCGGAAATGAGTTCTACATACCCCACAAACCAGTGATACGGGAATCAGCGGAGTCAACCAAGTTGAGAGTTGTCTACGATGCATCAGCGAGAGCCTACGCAGACGCACCAAGCCTGAACGACTGTCTCAACGCTGGTCCACCTCTTCAAAACCGTCTGTGGGACGTGCTAGTCCGAATGCGCTTTCATCCTGTAGCGGTGACGGGAGACCTAAAGAAAGCCTTCCTGCAAGTAAGAATCAAGGAAGCAGACAGAGACGCATTACGGTTCCACTGGAAACCACGCGAGCAGAGTGAACTGCAAACATTAAGATTTACGCGAGCGTTGTTTGGCCTTACCTGCTCTCCATTCCTGCTCGGCGGAGTCGTCGAACAACACCTTAACGCCTGGGAGGAGCGAATGCCAGAAGAGGTGAGCGAGTTGCGGAAGAGTATGTACGTAGACGACTTCATCAGCGGGAGAACAACAGTCGAAGAAGCCAAGCAACTGAAAAGAAACGCGATAGAGATTTTCAATGATGCGACATTTACGTTACATAAGTGGCATTCAAATGAGCCGGAGCTGGAAGATTCGCCAGACAAATCAACGGACGAAGTGACTTACGCCAAGCAACAACTAGGAACAACCAAAGGAGGAGAATGTAGTCTACTGGGGCTTCCCTGGCACAAGTCTTCTGATACCATCAGCGTGGTCATTCCTTGCGAGCCAACGAAGCTAACGAAGCGAGGAACTTTACAAAAACTTGCAAGAATATACGATCCATTAGGACTGGTATCACCTCATACCCTACAAGGAAAGCTTATCTACCGAGAAGTATGCAAGAAGAAGGTCGGATGGGACGTGGAGATCGATAGCGAAGCCAAGAAAAATCTGGAACGCTGGGAACGAAGTCTGCCGAACCAAGTCACAACCGAGAGATCACTGGTAAAATTCCGCGAAAATATTGAGTCAATAGAACTGCATGCGTTCGGAGACGCAAGTGGTGATGGTGTATCGAGCGCAGTGTACGCAGTTGTCCATCAGCCATCGGGCGTTAGCCAAGGACTTGTGGCAGCAAAGTCGAGACTAGCGAAACAAGGCTTAACGATTCCGCGCCTGGAGCTGGTGTCTGCGCACATGGCTGCCAACCTTATCAGCAACGTAAGAAACGCCTTGGATGGATTTCCGATCACTGTTGTCCAGTGCACGTGTTGGCTTGACAGCACAGTTGCGCTACACTGGATCAACGGCAGGGGAGAATACAAACAATTTGTTGCCAACCGAATCCAGAAAATTAAGTCGAACAGCGGTATCCAATGGCGTCATGTACCAACCGACCAAAACCCAGCTGACCTGGGAAGTAGAGGTGGTTCTGTAGTCAACAAACAATTGTGGTGGAACGGTCCAACATGGCTCAGCACTCCAGAAAGTTGGCCCGCAGACATAACCACTACCCCGTCCAAGGAAAGCAACGCCGAAGCGAAGATGGTTAAACAGGTACTGGCAGTATCGTTGGAGAGCATCAACGAGCTAGACGAGATGCTTACGAAATACAACTTGTGGAAAATGTTGAGAATCTGTGCATGGGTAGCAAGATTTGCTTTCAACTGCCGTCGACCCCGACAAAAGCTAAAAGGACCATTAACGACAAACGAGATCGAGAAGCAGAAATTATTCTGGATCAAACGTGCCCAAACCAGCGCAACGTACGAAGAGGAACGATCGGCATTGAATCTGAAGCCAAACGAACTCGGAGTTTTGGTATGCCGAGGAAGAATCCAAGGAAATTATCCCATATTCCTACCAGACACACATCCCTTCACAGCAAAGTTGGTGGATCAAGCTCATATACGCACTCTGCATGAAGGAGTAGGAATGACGATGGCTTACATTCGTGAGAAGTACTGGATCCCGAGGCTTCGCAGACTCGCTCGGAAAGCGATCAAGAAATGCTACGGTTGCCGCAGATTCCACGCAAAATCCCTAGAGCAACCTGTACCTGGTCTGCTCCCACGTGATCGAACGGAAGGCAGTCGCCCATTCCAAACCATAGGAGTAGACTTCGCAGGACCACTAAGGTACAAGAAAGGAAACAAGACCAAAGGGAAAGCGTACTTCGTGCTGTACGCTTGCAATTTGACAAGGGCGATCTACGTCGAGTTATTGGCCAGCCTATCGACCGAAGAGTTAATAAGAAGTCTGAAAGGATTCATCGCCAGGAAAGGGAGACCAGAAAAAATCTATTCAGACAACGGCAAAACCTTTGTCGCGGCAGCAAAGTGGTTGAACGTGGTGCAAAGGGACGAAAAGCTCCAAAACTTTTTGGCTATCAAAGAAATACGTTGGCAGTTCAACCTTAGTCGAGCGCCGTGGTGGGGTGGCCAGTTTGAGCGCTTGATCGGGCTTGTCAAACGAGCATTACAAAAAACAATTGGCGGTGGATGTTTGCGATGGAACGAAATGCAGGAAGTACTTCTAGATGTAGAAGTCGCTCTAAACAGTCGACCACTGAGCTACGTCGAGGAAGACCATCAAATGCCAACTCTGACACCAAACGCTATGATGTTCGTCGGCTCTAATACCTTGCCAGAATTAGAGGCCCATCATCTCGAAAAACCTGATCTACGGAAAAGAGCAAGATTCTTATCGAGATGCAAAGATGCTGTTTGGCGACGATGGACATCAGAATACCTACGGGCGTTACGGGAAAGACATAACCAGGCTCAAGGGACTAAAACGTTGAACCTGAAGATCGGGGACGTGGTGATCATCAAATCGGACGAGAAGAATCGAGCGAAGTGGAAATTAGGAATTGTTGACGAGCTTTTCAAGGGACGCGACGATGTGGTGAGGGCAGTAAAACTTCGAGCTGGGAACAATTTCCTAGAAAGACCACTTACACATCTGTACCCCTTGGAACTATCGTGCGACCGAAAAGCGAAGGTAACTAAACAATCACTGCATGAACGCAGATGCTACAATATTCAGACCCAAGAGAGACGCTGCAGTGGCAGCAAGGCAACGCATTCAAGATGTCATAAACTCTCAGAGTTAGGCATGGTGGACATCCGTTAGTGAACCATAAAATCATATAGACAGTAGTCTCCTTTAATACATATATCTCGACTAGCGAGCTATATGGGGGGAGGGTGTCGGAGACTTGCAATTATTAGGATAGAACTACACTAGGAATATATAACCAAACGAATATATAGCATATATATAAAAATATATAACAGAAAATATTTTAGTATGATCATAGAGTTAGTTAAAACCACCGAATAAGTGCATGGTATAAACATAAACGCAGCGTAATAATCTAGAGCTTTCAAACCGCGGCGTAAGCATAAACTTGCGTCACTTAACAACCACAACATTAGGGCGCAGCGATAGCAGAACATGAATTTCATGATGAATTAACACAATTTGCGCGCGGATATTCGTCATGTAACCGCAATGACTTCTCACTAATTTACTATAAATATAGCCAGTGTATGTTAGAACACTGAACGGAACAGAACTGAGCTGCGAGAACCGTGAACCGAGAACCAAGAAGCTAATATCAACTTGAAGTGTAACACGATACGGAGTTATCTATCTAATGTCAACGTGACCTGTGAACCTTTTATTAAATCTTTTAAACTCAACGTGATTTGTGAGTTTTTGGGCGAGACAAAGAGGGAGGCAATTCCCCAACAATATATATATATATATATATATATATATATATATACATATAAATATATATATATATATATATATATATATACAATATATTATAATATATATAATATAATATATATATATATATATATATATATATATATACATATAAATATATATATATATATATATATATATATATATATATATATATATATATATATATATACAATACAATTGAAGATAAAAAGTTAAAAACCGTTCGCTCGGTTACTCGAGTTTCACGCCTTTAAAAAGCGATCATCAAACTAACATTCCTTATTATTTACAAAGCATTTATACCTAAAAAACATCCATAAAATATTTACATAAGTTGGATGCAAATTGCATAAGAGTTGGATAAAAATTGAATAAAAAATTAGCATAAAAATTTGTTTTTGTGCCTACATGATGAAATTAGTTCTGACTTTTTGTTCAATAAGAAACGCTTGTCGGCATTTAGAATGCAAAGTTTCTCAGCCAGGCAGAGGTTGCATTGTCTTGATCCACCACGGTAAGCACGGGCTCGCTGTATAACTGACCACTTGATCGAATACTTTATTCCTGATTCCTTTAATTTCCAGAGGTACTTCGACAGCGATGTTTTTGTTGCGTACTTCTTCTTTTCAAAGGATTGCTTGTGATCGGCATATCGGGTTTTAAAACTGTGCTCTGTCATACCAATATAGTTTCTTGTGGTTTGATCTTCGGCTGTTACTGTTGCCTCGTAAACTATATTGCTGGTCTTACATTCCGATTGCCCGATTAATGGAGAATGTAAGACCAGCAATATAGTTTACGAGGCAACAGTAACAGCCGAAGATCAAACCACAAGAAACTATATTGGTATGACAGAGCACAATTGTATTGTATTACTGCTCTGCCTCTTTGGCATTGAGCTCTGTCGACCCAGTGACAACCACATTGTATATATATATATATATATATATATATATATATATATATATATATATATATATATATATTATATATATATATATATATATATATATATATATATACCCATTTGCAAAAACGTTGGCCGCAGATAGATAGATAGATAGATACTTGAAGTCTAATTAGAATTGCATATGAATACATTTGCATGGGATTTCAATCATATTACACAACATATGCAATTCTAATTAGATTTCGGGTATCTATCTATATATCTATCTGCGGCCAACGTTTTTGCAAACGGGTATATATATATATATATATATATATATATATATATATATATATAATATATATATATTAATATATATATATATGGATGAGTATAGTGATGTTAGATTGAGCAGGTCAAAGAACCAATGGCGTGAGGGGCCCATTTCAATTAGGGGGAGGGGCTCTGATGGTGAATTTTTGTCTTGCGAATTTTCTAATTGATTGTTTCTACACCATCTGAGGTAGCATACTACCATCCGGGGCCAATTTTATAAAAGACTTGTTAACTTCTAACTGTAGTTAATCAGAGTGGTGTATTTCTGAATTAACTAGGATTTAATTATGCAACCTGTAGTTAAATAGTTTTACACAAGCGGCTTAGTTGTGGTTCATGTTTATGGTAATTTTTTTAGTTAGGTCATCAGTTTAACTTGTTCTATTTATTAACTATCTATCCATTTTGCAAAGTTCACAAAAATGTTGAGGAATCTTACTGTTACTGTAAATTGAAATATTACTTTTCCGTGGTGTGGGTTTTGTTCTAAAGGAATTTAGCCCCTAAAGACGGCGCATGTGCCGTCGCACATGAATTCGCAGAGTTTGGTGCGGAGATGAACTATAATGGGGATGGATGCGACATTGCATGCGATGTATTTTGTCAGTGTTTATTGATGCAAGAAATATTTTAAAGATTATGTGTTTAGCATCATGCTTTGCGTGCTCAAATCAAATTACATTCACCTGTCTTCAACAAAAAGCTTCTGAAAATAAAAAATACAGTTCATAGCCTACTTATTTAATTTAGATGCCTTGCGAACCTAAATGTTGTTCGATCGCGACATTCAGAAGCACATCCCACTTTGAAAAGCATAGAAGTTCAATTGTTTGAAATTGTAAATAAACCGCATAATACGTTCACTTTGTCTTACACTTTCCCGTCGTTCTTATGCAAACTACGACGTGTCAACGCGCCCATACACGACCACATCTTGTTATTTGACGAAATAGCAATATCAGTAAAATAGCGATATTAGTAAAATAGGACCAGAATCTATATGTATTAAGTATATTCTTACCTCAATTAAATCTAAACTTAATCGAACAGCATCAAAAGAACGGTTTATTTGTTCAGAATATTTTGCTTAAGAATTAACGGAACACCGGGGGGGGGAGGGGCTCAAGCAGCAGCTTCCACCGCCCCGGCTCGCATAAGCCTATTGTTTACAACGTATACAAGATTTTCATTCGAATTATGTCTTTCTGATAAAATCACTTGCAAATATAGTATTGATTTGAGATTAGTTGAGATTTGAGATTAGTTGAGAGATAAGTTGAGAATATACTTTTTAAACTGTGAATGTGTTCTTGCTTTTTTCTTCTCACTGTGGAATATTTATCGTGTTTTTTTTTCAAAGATTGGCATTCCGATGCAGGCTTTTGTCGCCGACAAGCAATTCAGAATTGGTGATGGTGGATATTCTAGTGTCTATGTTGGTCTCATGGAGGATGGGACTGAAGTTGCTGTCAAGAAAATGACGGTACTAAAGTGTGATAAAATAGCTGAAAACGAAAGGCAAATTATGGATCTTATTAAAACAAGCGACTCGCCATTTATAGTGAGTTATCGACATTTTCACCGTGACGATACCTTCATGTATCTTATTCTTGATCTTTGCGAAGAAACCTTGCAGAAACTTGTTCAAGCATCCAGTATTGAACAACTACAAGAGCATGGTCCACGAATGATTAAGGAAATTCTATCAGGACTTGAATTTCTCCATGGTAAAGGAATATTGCACAGAGATCTAAAACCATCAAACGTCCTTGCTGATTTCGAGGGTCGCATGAAATTGGCAGATTTTGGATTAAGCCGCGTTCTAAAAGACGATGAAACTACAGTTGAAACAGACGCTAAAGGCACTCACGGATGGATGCCAACAGAAGTAATTGAAGTTATAGACAAAGAAGAAAAAGGTCCTTTTAAAAAGAAATCGGATGTCCAGGTAGCGGGTATGATTGCTTTCTTCATCTTAACAAAAGGTGAACACCCTTTTGGATCTCAGTTTGATCGAATGAGAAATATTTTGAAAGGAAACCCTGTGAATTTGAAGAAACTTGGTGATCGTAAAGCTCGAAAGTTTGTGGCGTGGCTGATTCATCACAAGATTGATAAGAGACCTTTTGCTGAGGAAGCGCTGTGGGACTCTTTCATTAATAAAGATTGATTCAGAACTATTTAACGGAGAGGAAAGCAATGTTATGAGAAATTATCCCAATATTTTCACATTATGAACGACGAGTTCGTAAGGAAAAGAATTATCTGAATTTCACAACATGGTATTCTACGAGAGGATCATCTAGTAATCTAGACAATCTTGTACAAAGAACAGTTAGTTAACCTGATAATCATTGTGTAAATTATAAACGTTGGTGAACTGCTCTTCTTAATAAACGGACTATAATTTTCGGCAATAGTTTGTGCAGTCGTAGTGTAATTTGGGCTATTTTTACCGCCCTAATCGGTTCCTAGCACATCCCTAGTCGGTTCATACTCGTGCCCTGGTCCTTCCGTATACTGCGTGCGACCTTATCACGGGAGAATACGAAGAATTTGGTAAAAAGATGAACTACGAAGATGGCTGGGATTGCTATTTTACCCTTCTAATGAAAATGCAAGACAGTTAGTGGTTCACTTTTAAGGCAAGATGTTAGCAATAATAATTGCAAAACATGACGGTTGATTACCATTCTTCAATAATTCTTGTTCATTAAGGGCCTAAAACAATCATGTGTGTGTGTGTTTTAACAAACTAGTAGTTCGTTTAGGGCGAATCTACACAACCGCGGATTTAGCCTGAAAATATATACTGTATATAACCGTAGAGAGCTTATGTGAGTCAAACTTCACGTAAACTTGTTCCATTTGTATGTATAGCAGCATAGTCTAGTGATATACCTTAAGATATACCTTCATAGGTATACTGTCCTACTGTCCTCTGTAATGACTTTTTCTTGTTGTGATATCTATATAGATAACTATAAATATAAGAACTATAACCAATCTCTGATATTTAAAAGAAAATTTTAGGAAAACCAGCACTTTCAATCTTGGCTTTACAATTTTCACACATATATATGAAGGGTAGTCTCAGTGATTTGGAGCAGTGGGTTGCATAATAGAGTTTACGCGCGTTTTGATTGCGTAGACGGTCGCCGGTAGCTTTCTTCATATTCAATTGGGTTTGGTCGTTGAAATACGCGTTAAGTTTAACCGAAATTACATTATTACTATTCACACCAGCACTCAACTATCGCGCATGACTATTTAAACCGTCCAGAGATATTATGAAACAGCCTGTGTATCACACATTTTTTATGGTTTTTTAAGATCCTTTGTTGTCATTGGTTGACTAGCGGTCCGTGAAATCCATAATCGGACGGTGATCCGTATAATTATTTCGTATCTGGACCAGTATCCCAGATGTCTCATGCAGTTCAGCCATATCTGATATTTCACAGTATAGACCTCACGCTCGGTCAATAATCAGTTAATATACTGGATAGTTTAAATAATGACTTTCTGCTGATGAATCATGCAAATGCTGTATGGATTCAATTTCATATTCAGATATTTGAGAACGAACATTAGCTTTTTTGCCGTAATTTGTTACAATCTCGATATAGATTATTCCTGACTTTTACATGACCTTAAATTTCCAACATTTTTATTTATGTAGTAAAAATGTTGTTTTGAAAGAATATTCCTGATTTTGAGTCACACTGGAAAAATTTCGTTTCAAATCGATGCAAATCCATATTTTTGCTAATTGAACCTTCCAGACATAATGCAACTACAATTAATATTCATATATTCGTATCATTCATATATACTGCATTATTAGTTTCTATTCAAATTGATGTTTTATGTGCCTGCTAACCCCCTAATTTTTTTTAGGGGAGGCGTACGTGCCCCCTGTGTCCTCCCGGTTCCTACGCCACTGGCGTCGAAAAGTGCAATTGGAACAATAGATAATGAGATGGTAATGAGCTTAGTGAGGTGTATCGTCTCATTATCTAGGCCTAAGATTACTGTTGCATTACTAGAGGCACACAAACAATCGGGTGAGTTATATGTACGAACTATTATAGGTTAACGTTGTTTAGTGATAAGCTGCTAAACACAAGCGCAGTCTTAGCTTCAAAAATATGTATATATAAAAGCTTAGCTTCAAAAATATAATTGACAAAGACACACACTAGTCTTAATAATTATGTTGTTATGAATTTTTCATATTTAAAGGCATGTTTAAAATCTTCAGAAGATTGTCTGTTAAACCTGACCTAAACTTTTTAATGACTTGGTCTAGTCATAGAAATTCAAAGGAAGACATTCATGAACATTCCTTTCGTTTGATTGTCTATTGTTTAATATTATAATTATTTGTATCCATTCGAGCTTTAAACAAGTTTGGCAAAACCAGAACCGCCCATTCTAAGCGCCTTATCTTTATATAAAATACTAAGATACAATATAACCAGGGAGCCACTTGGCAGCCTCTTCAAACAACTTAGCATCAAATGTGGTATAACAACTGCCTATAATAGACAAAACACTTCTCGACATTTTGACCTAAGCGCCTTCGTCGGGAGAGTTAGTATGAAAATAAGTAGGGGAGAATACATGTTTTGTATGCGGGCAAAACACGTGATAAAAATTAATGGGCCAATAGAAAACAAAAAATCAAATCAAATTGGAATATATTACATCGGCCCACGATCAGGCGTTTCTTTGGCAATGTAATGTATTTCAATTTGTTTTCATTTTTGGTTATCTATCGGCCTATTTTTACCACCTGTTTTCCCCCCATAAAAAACATGTATTTTCCCCTAACTCTCCTGACGAAAGCCTTTAAGTCGAAACGTCGAGAAGGGTTTTGTCTATTTTAGGCAGTTGTTACATTACTAAGCTAGTTCGAACGGCGCCTCACCCACTCGTATTTTACTATTTCTTTATCTGTCGATATGATGATGTAAGATGGCTTAAAAAGCTGTTTAGAGCGATGAACACTTTCCGCAAAGAATATTGAATTGCTGCACACGAAAATCGCCTCCAACGAATGCCCTAAGAGACTTTTGATTGTTTGTCATTAGGAAGAGAAATCACCTGATTGCAAACATGTTTATTACCAGTGGTTATTCCGGTTGTGTTGCTTCATAGTTCATTGGTTCAGACGTGACGCGCTCGCTTTCTCAGTCACTGATTTCTACAGGGCGGGTAAAAAAAACGCAATCCAACTTTAAGGCTTTATACATGAAAATTTCTTGACACGGGTCTGTGCGAAGGGGTAAATTTCTACCATTATTTAGATTTGATTGTTATGAAAACAGAACATTCCTTCTGTCACTACTACATTTAAAAGGCAAGTGTATTTTCATACAATTTGGGCCCTATATAATATAAATAATTATTATCTTACAATGGCAGGTTGATAATAATTTGTGATTTTAAGAAACCTTTCCAATGTGTCGAAAACATTTGTTTTCGGCAAGACGCGCTTCTTCGGGCGATGGATTGAAAACATTGTTTGCTATGCCATAATATGCTATATCTATTACAGTTTTTTTCATTTTATATTGGATATTTATAACTTCGAATGGTACAATGATTTATGGACCACCATGTCTTTAACAATATCCTTCACACTTGCACAACCTTAAAAAAATGAAACTTGTCTTATTTAGGATTCTAAGACGACTTGAATAACAGGACAGACCAGACGGATGCACAGAGCTTTTCTTGATTTGCGACATGTCACACAATCCAAGTCTGATTTTTTTACTTTTGAAAATATCCAAATGGACAAAATGCTAAAAAAATCATTTAGATTTTATTTTTTATGGCTACGTTTCTGGTTTTACTTCACATCGTATGTTACCGTCACTTTGAAAATGTTTTTTATTTTGACACATATAATTTATATAATCAATAAATTTAAACCACAATTTACCACAGTGTCATAGCGATTTCAAGCTCCTCCTTAAATATATGTAAAACATTATGCACTCCATCTTCACCCTTTATAAATATAAAAAAAACTTTGTCGTTTTTGATAGGAGATGGTTTGAGTCAGTTTTATCAAAGACATTATGTGGAAGGGTTCGAGAAATTAACTATAAGAATCCGAAAATATATTTATGAATATTTTCAACTTGACAGACACAAAGCGGATATGCCGACAAACTCATTTATCTATAAAAACGTTTTTTATATAACTCTACAACTATTAATCTTCAGCTAATTAGCCTTTCTCAGGATGACCAAATTGCCACCGCCATTTTTGGGGTGCTTTTTATTAAAATCGTGAGGGTTAATGTTAAGGATGGCGGATGCATGTCTGTGATTTTAGACTTTTTTATTATTTTTTATTCTTGAAATGGTCTTTTGACTCTTAGAAAGCTTTTTATATTCAAAAAATAGCACGGGATATTCTTCATCGTGAGAAAGCTAATTCCAGAGATTGCTTTTGCTAGAATGTCATTTTATTATCATTCGTTCGTTCAAAAATATCGTTCGTTATCCGTTCGTTTGCCCTTCTAACGCTTGAAGCGTTCGTTGAAACGATTTTCGAGATCGTTCATCGTTCGAAATTGCCCGTTCGAACGCTTAGGAAAAAACGTTCGAAAATTGGTCCAAAAGTGTTCAACAGTTTGATTTACCGTTCGTTGAAAAAGTTGGCGGGAATTTCGTTCAATCGCATTGGATTTGGTTCAACATTTCGATGAAATATTTGCAATGTTACAACTTTATAGAACAAGCGCAGAATGTGTTACACAGAAATTTTCCCAGAAACGTATTCAGTTCCTCAGTAGAAGGCTGGTAAAGGAAATAGTGAGGTTATATCATTTTAGCCTAATCGAATGCTTTTTTGTTCGCTTCATGTTATGGTTTATGCTTAGCGTCATGCAGACATGAAAGCTATTAATATTCAGTGCATGCTATTATTTATTAACGACAAATTTCACGTCATAAGCTTTCTTTCTTTATCGTTTTTTGAGTTTCGGTAATGCACTGAATGGTTAGAATTTGTGCTTCAATATACTTCTGTAGCTTCCATAAAGCTAAAGCTCACCGCGCGCACAAGCAACGTCGCAAGCCATATATTACAGCATTACGAGCCATAATAATGCCTTGGCAAGGTGCTACACAGCAAAAAATGAATTTCTTAAGAAATTGAATTTTCTTAATTTAAGAAAATATTTACTTGTTTCAAGAAACAATTTTCTTATTTTGAGAAAATATTTTCTTAAGATTTTTTTCTTCTAAATTTGAGAAAACATTTTCTTGAAATAAGAAAATTATTTCTCGAGAAAATATCAGAGATATCACTTTCTTATCATAAGAAAATGTTTTTCTTAAAATGAGAAATTGTTTTCTTAAGAAAATATTGAGATATCAATTTCTTGTTATAAGAAATATATATTCTTAAACTAAGAAAATGCTCTTCGTATTAAATGTGAAGAATTTCAGCTAAGAGTAAACTTCAAAATTACTTGTGTTTCAAATGTTCCTTATTGTTGAAGTTTGTTGATTTCAAAAAGTTATATATGTTTCATATTTTATTGTTTTTAGTTCCGGCGATCATTAGATGATTTTATTAATTTAGCGCTAGCTAACTACATCAGTATGAGTCAACAATGAAGCTTTTCGTACTTGCACTTTACAAGCATGGCGTGACATATTCGGTCAAGAACCGTTAAAATAGAACAAAGTCATAATATAATGTTTGCAAAATGCTGTCTTCATTTACGGAAATCCAGCGTGAGATAATTCAAAGCATTCCAAGTTAATACTTATAATTATATGGTCCAGCCTGACGCAGAGCCTGATTATTCCATTTATCCCATTATGCCTTTCGAGCGTAGACCACGAGGGAAATTTGAATACTTAGCGAAACAACCTATAACGCTATTAACGGATAGTAAAGAAGTATTGTTTTTTTACGGCGAATATGGCATTTGTATCTTGTTATTAACTTTATATATTACCGATAAAGATATGGACGTTTAGGATGTGAGAAAATATACTCTATATCGGCGCAAATTTGTGGTATTTCCTAAGGTGAGTTGATGTTTCATGATGTCATATGCCAACATGCTGATCGAGTGTGTTATTATATACAACGTATAAGCCTTTATTTGTTAGCCTTCGTTAGCCTTTATTCCACCCTATTATAGATCAAGAATTGTATTTTCATCGTTCAATGATTTGCGCTATGATTTTCCATGTTATTATCTGTTATATAGTTAAATAATTGGCTATAGCACTAATAGCAGGGATAGCTAAACAATATCTTAGAATTTCTCAGCAATTATGGCCTAGAATACCTCAGAGGAGCAAAACAGAATAGTCCAATGTTGTGATATATATATTTAAGGAGCAGCATATGGCAGTGTTTCTAATGTCTTTGTTTGAAATGAAGGATAGGAGTTGAGTTCTATTTTCAGATTGATACTAATTACTAAATCCAGAGGGGTTAATGTAACAGTGCTTCTCCACAGTAGGGTTGAGACTGTTCCAAAGGGTATAAATTGTGCATCAGAGTCTGCCTATATCATTAAAATGATCACAAAGCTCTCTATTTTGCCTTCAGATACATTTACCATCCATATTTTGTTAGGGACAATTTTTGGATTTAACACCATTTGATTTCATTGGATAAGGCTCTATCTATATATTGTTTTAATTAATTACATGTATTTTCATGGTGAATTGATTGGAATTTAAACTATCATAGGGATGTAGAAAAGCAGTGTAGAATGGGTTGAAGGATGGGTGTATTTGATAAAAAATGGTCTTAAAGTAGTTTTCTTAAAGATGCCGGTATAGCAGGGAATAGCTAAAGAAAAGCTTAAAATTCCCCAGAGTAGCTAAATTATTATTTACCAGTATTTTTTGTTTGATGTACTTCATTCCTAACATGATTGCAAAGTTTTATTTTAAGTTAAATGTGAACTTAGGATTTACTTCACACCAATTTTTAAATTATTTACTCTCAAATTTATCTGATGATGTCTCGTCTGATTTTAAAAACCACAAAAATCCTTTTTGCAATAATTGATCTGTACTGCAATAATTGATATTTGAAAACATGTCAAATAAACACTGGACAAATACAAAACCTTCAAAGCCGGGGTGCAATATTATATATAATCATGCATTTCTCTGTATTTCTATATAATCATGTAGGGCCTATAATTCTCATGTATTATTGTCTGCTGTGTATTCTATATTATGACTCATGAATATTTTAGTAAATTTACATTACATTCTTACTTACAACGGCGTAGCCGGAACGATAATTGGGGGGGTCCATATTCATATATTCGTGATACGCAGGATTAATTTCTTTTCAAATCAATTGTCTTTACAGTCTGTTTACATGAATATATGAATATGGACCCCCCCAATTATCGATGCTGGCTACGCCAGTGCTTACTTATAACAAAATATCATGTCAGAGTTTCTAGGGTTTCTTGAGAATTAACTTTTCTTATTATAAGAAAATATTTTCTTGGAAATATTTCTTATATTAAGACAAATTTCTTAAGAAAATTTTTCACATTATGAACATTCTATAAGAAATTTTGGACTAATTTCAAGAAAATTTTCTTAAACTGAGAAATTATTTGTTTGCAACTTTTCTTATTCTAAGAAAATTTTCTTAAGAAAAAATTTCTTAAGAAAAAAAGTAAGAAAATTTTCTTATTATTCTCCCAAGAAAATTTGAACTCATTTTAAGAAAATTTTCTTAAAATGAGTTTTTTTTTTCTTGAAATAAGAAAATGATTTTTTGCTGTGTAATTAAATTGCATAATTGTCGGAAGTCTCTTAATGTATGTAAACAGAAAAAAACAGATTTTAAAATGAATTGAGGGATTTTGCGTGTTACATTTAATTAATGTCGTACTTGTAGACCCTGTGTATATAGCTAATTTATTTAAATCTGATAATCTGATAGCAGGGCCTCTGTCCGAAGCAGCTACTGATTAAAATCCATTCAAAGTAAAGGACCGCACCCTAGGACTAGGACCTGAAAGCAGTTCAGCATTTCAGATCGTTGTCTTTAATGCAGTCTGACATCCAAATGATACAACAATTGAAATTCCCTAGCTAATATTTGAAGACATAAATACAGTGACCTAACGCGCGTTCGGTAGGGTTAGGACGAGAACTAAAATAAGGGTCCGCAGTCATTGTAGGCCGGAATAGATAACGAAACATCATAGTATGAGCAAAACGTGATCAATGACAAACAGCGAATTAAGGGACCCCGCAGTACCAAGTATACCTCATGAAAGACACCATCCTCTATTCGTTATGCCACTGCATGAATATTCAAGCAATTTAAATATATGTACATGCACGTGCATCTAGTCTAAAACTGGAGCCGGAGCAACAAGATCTTCAGGGCCCCGCTTACAAAAATTGTCTTATTTCCCAAAAAAGGTATCTTTGTCTCACCAGATCTATAAGCCATCTGGCTCAATCGTTGCTGTCATGTTGTGAAAGGTGGCAAGTGGCATAAATATAACTTATGGCATAAATATAACTCATGCATTCTAAATATTTATTTAGGCTCAAGTAATTCACAAAAAAATTACTTCATATATATTGATATATGCACATCTCAGCACAATTCACTCCCCATGTAT